AGAATCTCAGCTTTCATTTAAAAAATACACCTCTACCCCAATATAACGCTGTCCTCGGGAGCCAAAAAATCTTACCGCATTATAGGTGAAATCACGTTTTATATATATATATATATATAACTTGCTTTGATCCGGCGGAGTGCGCAGCCCCCCCGGAGCGCTGCTTTACTGTGTTATATCCGCATTCATGTTATATCGGGCCGCGTTATATCGGGGTAGAGGTGTAGTAAGTTTCTAGCCCTCATGGTCATGAAGAAAAGTTTGAAAGCATGAACCAAGTGCACTGTTCACACCCAAAAACTAGATGGCAAGTAAAAAAGAACCAGATTTAATTAATTAATTTTTGGCCAGTTGACAGTAATGTATTTGTAAGTTAAATGACCCATTTACTCTTCTCTTAGCATAGGAACTATAACCTTCAGAGCAATAAAAACCATGAACAGCGGGACAAAAAGTCAAAGCAGAAATGATTTCCTCACACATAACTTCTCAGATAACAACATCTCCTAAAACATGAAAGAGATCAAAGAGCAAAATAGTGTAAAAATATCATGTTTTCATTCTGTCCCAGCAATACAGAGCAGCGGCTTGGATCTTAGAGTTTTCAGCCAGAAAATCTAAAAACACTCATCAAATCGCACCACCCTGTTGCTCAGATGATAAGCTCGCTGAGTTCCTACAAGGAATATTTCCAACACACACACAAAAGTGAACTAAGAAGACAGTAAACACAAAAGATTTAAGTGTCTCAATCACCTTCAAGGAAACAGACTCCACTTCCTAATCACAGCTCTGCCAAACATAGGAAAAGAACAGAGAGTTCCTCACAACTGAAAGCAAGGAATTTGAGATGAAATTCACAACCTTGAAGAACAGAATGAGACATCTAACGAAGCTTTTTCGTTTTATTTTTGCACTTCCATAAAGACAGCTCAGCAGCTTTTTAAAAAAAGCAAGTCTACAACATCAACTGCTAATTAAAAAAAACTTGCTCCCATACTCAGAGCTTCATTCATGCCAAGCTGCCTCCTGTAGGGAGATTTTATGATCCTTTGAAAAATGATGTTTCTAACAGAAATGTTGATAGAGCCATCAGGAGCGCCACCAGCTTTTCTGCCGCCCTAGGCGGCGGAAGGTCCCACTCCGAAATGCCGCCCCCCACAGAGGCGGCGGAAGGTCCCACCGCCAAAATACCGCCGCGGTCGCTGCCCCCCAAATTGTAGCGCCCTAGGCGACCGCCTAGGTTGCCTAATGGGTTGCACCGGCCCTGAGAGCCATAGTGAGTGCTCTGCAAATAGTCATACTGTAATATGTATCCTATGTTTACCTTACAGAAAGATGACTGTGTGTGCCCAAAAACTCAGATGTAACAGATAGTAAATTGTATCAAATTATATAAATATCTGTATCCCCTTTACTTGTGGAGTTGATACTTTTAAAATAGCCTTCCCCTGTTAAAAAAATACTACCTACATCGGGCTGAATCCTCAGCTGTGCCTAGGGAGTTATAGGTGGCAAAGATGGCTCTAAGCCAGCTTTCTCTTGTCCAGATCGTGAGGCTAGCTGGGACAAGTTAGACCACACCCCTGACATGCTATCTTTGGAACACTCCCTACGATGCTCGGGGGAGCCAGAAGAGTCTAGTGCAGAACCCACTATGCCATCTTTACACTAGCTGTGGCTGTCCATTACTCTGTGTTTGTACAGCCCCTAGCACAATGGGGTCCTGAGCTTGGCTGGGGCCTGTGGGTGCTATTATAATATAAATAATAATCATCATCACCATCCCCTGACTCCAGGGGAATCCTCAGCTGCTCATCTAGGACAGCTTTCAGATTCCTGTGTGCCCTCAGGATCTGGCCCAGTGTTTCTTCACATAACTTGCAGCCTTATATGAAACATCTAGGGCCTCATTCTGCCCCCCACTGGCCCTGACCCAACAAGGTACTCAGAAAGCATGTGCCTAACTTGAAGCATGTGAGTCATCGCACTGACTTCAATGGGACTGCTGCCGTGTGTAAAGGCAGGCACGTGCTTAAGCACCTTCTTGAATCAGTGCCAGTGCCAGTAATCTGGTATAAATTAAGCAATTCCACTGCAGTGAACAGAGTTACACCTGTGTAAAATCAGGTGAGTTCAGAATCAGGCCTGTGGCATCAAAAGCATGTGATGTACCAGGATTCTGTGTCACTGCTTTTCACTGGATTGTGGAAGCATCTAGAATTCAGGCAAGATTTTTGAAGGATGCTGCTAACATATCTCTGAAATGTCTGGGTGAGGCAGAATTTAATGAAGCACGTTTTGGTTTGAATGCAAGCCCTCAGGCACCCTCCAGGTGCTCATTCCAGTTCTTCTAATAGCCCCATTGCCTCATTGGAGTGTCTCATAGCTAATTGTGTTCCTACAGGCATTTAACCTGCAGCTGTAGATTTCCATGACAGGATAGGAAAACATATGGAACTTGCCTTACTGATCTTCAGCAGATCCAGTATTTTTAAATATCTAAAACCCATTAGATAAATTCAGTATTGGTGAGAATAACTGCTTTGTTAGGTTACAGTATTCTAATCTGTTTACATTATGAGCCTTAATTCACTTTTAGCCCTAGAGCTAAAAATAGTGTTGTGGAAATATTTACATGATTTTCCCCTTTAGTGCCACCCTTATGACGTGTACAGACACACACACAGAGTAGACAAGTTGTACACACGCCGTGCCAACTTTGCATGGACAACTGGGGCTCAACGGGAATGAAATCTGCCCCTGTGCAGAAGAAGGTCAACATGAGGCCTGTGGATCATTTATGTCCCACATGTGCCCTAATTTGAGGATTTAAGTGGGGTCTGAGTGATGCATAAACTTTATGCTGGCTGCGCAGGAGTGAATTTAACCCAGCAACTTCTATTAAGTCTATAAACAGAGGGTATGAAAATGAGCACCTTTTACCCAGCACCCTCTCCTTCTCTATCTCCACAGCTCTTCCAACATGCCACTTGCCTATATAGTGTGAGTCAGCACCAGATTCAGAGCTTGACAACAACATCTCATGCAGATCTCACTATCAGTTGGGCCACAGGGCTGACTTTGATGCATCTCTCTATATATACAGTATTTCTACACAAATGTAGGGTTTTTTTTCCTTCAGAATATCTACTTATATTAACTTTTAGTGTAGATACCTTTTAAAGCATTCTGCCTTACAAACCCTGACCACTTTGATGATTTACAGGCTTGGAATACCTTGTAGCAGGGCATGAGGAAGTACGGACTGGGAGACTGATAGTCAATATGAAAAGTTTTGTCCACCAGTGGAAATCAGATCTTGGAAGAAAAGTCCTGGAGATTTTAAAAAGAGACTGCAACTAGAAGTGCACAAACAGGTAGGGCATTTCTTTATGCACAAAATGCAAACTTCACAGACAGAAGACCTCTGAAATGAAAACTGGAATGTAAGAAAATAGTTCCCAGTGTGTAGCGTGGTGTTCCAATTCATAGGCTCTGTCTAATTTAACCCTTCCTGGTCAATGTTCATGTACTCTCCTGGATCTTCTTTGGAAGGGTGCTCATATGAGCCAATGTTACATTAAAAAAATGTAGGGTCTGATTCTCATCTCACATACTTCAATGTAATTCTGAAGTAACTCCACTGAAGTCAGTGAAGTTACACCACTATAAAATTGGCATAAATGAAAGGAAAATCAGGCCCGTAAACTAAAGAGGATGGACAAAAAAATTGCTTCCCGTTACACCAGTGTAAATCCTGACTAACTTCAGTGAAGTTGAGGGAGTTCCCTGTATTTACACTGCTGTACGATGACTGAGTGTACGTCTTGACTGCAATCATTAGGAGTGATTGCGGCTCAGGCCCAAGTACAAAACTAGCTTTAATCCCCATAGCTCGGATCCTGGAGCAGTGAAGCTGCAGCACTCATGCCTCAGCACAGGCTGTACAAACCTGTCTGCAACCCTGGATTTGCAGGGCTAACGACACTGAAGCCTGCACTGCTGTGGTGTCACTGCTCCAGTTCCTGAGCTAGTGAGATTAAAGCTAGCTTGGGTACCTCAACTCAAGCTGTGGTCATATCCCATGATTGCAGTATAGCCAGACCCTAAGATCAGACTTTGGCCCACTACTTATAACAGCTTTCTATAGAACTGGAGATATTGTTTGTATCAGTGGGAGAGCTCTGTTGGCAACATGTCATTTGCAATTACTCTGTAATAGCACAAGGTCTGGTTAGGATGTGCCATCATCAAAAACAGTTGTGCACTGCATGCTTTTAAAGGAATGTGTAGGATTTAAGTTAGGGCCAAATTGTTTTTTCACTTACACCAGTGTGAACCTGTTGAAGTCAATGGAATGACTCTGTTTTTACACCGGCATAACTAAGAGCTGAATCCAGCCCTTTGTCAGCAATGTTGTTTTACTAAAGAGGTGCAGCGTATGTGAAGTTTTGTCCACAAAGTGTTAAAACTGATCCTATCCAAATGTAAATATTTCATTGTATAAAGCACTTTACTACCTGCCGCTTCATGGTGTGGCAAGTTTAATTTTGTTGGAGAGAAAAGGGGGTGAAGATGGCCTACAAACAACCTATTGAAACAGAAGCACTCCAGAAGACCCCTAAATGTGGACAACATTAATGGTATAAAGGGAATAGTCCTCTTTGGTCTTGGCACTGACCTCTGAGAGAATCCAAGGATGCAATCTGAAAGATAATGTACTTGCACTGAAGTCCCAATTTCAGACCGGAGTTTGAACCCGTTGGGTATTGACTATAATGAGACTTCACAAACAACATAGAGAACAAGAGACTAAGAAGCAAGAATGCAATTGCCAGAGGATAAGAACTCTGCCTGCGGACAAAGAGATGGACTTGTTAAGTGAAAAGGACTCTGTTTCACATATCACAGCCCCGTAATTCATGGAGCTTATTTTATTTTCGATGTTAGTATTTAAAACTGAACATTACATTTGTTTTCCCCTGTGTTTTTATTTACAGGATATATGGCCATTTTCCAGTTTACCACCAATTTATGGGACATATCACAGTTATTGCCATTCCCAGCACTAGATTATACCTTTTCTGTAACCCATCTTTAAACTTCAGTACATAGAGTGTATTCTGTTTGTGAGCATGAGGGGAAAAAATAGGAGGCACTGCAATGCCATAAAAATTACAAATCTGCCAATCTGCTTCACAAATGTATTTCTCTTTCAGGGTCGTGTTGGCTCACAAAAATTATACTATTTTGGTAATTCGTTTTTCTATCTCATGTATGTAATAAATATGATATGATTTCAGCAGCCTCATCGCTCACTCCCATTTACATCTCTAGTAATATTGTTCTGACACCCACAATGCAAGGAAAAAAGAAAGCCATTGTACAGCAGAATTTTATTCTCTTTGGTGATATTCAGCCCTCGTGCAAAGAATCAGCACAAGGCCTAAGTACTAGGTAACTCACATTTTTGTCCTATTTTGAGGGGGTCTCAAAGGTAGGCCCTCTGCACAGGGGTTGGCCAGAATCTGGTACTCACAGAAAAGCAGAGTGGCTACACATCAATATCAGGCCAATGATGATCCAAATCATGCTAATCCATTGCTAATCCATTGTCCCTCCAGCTCTCATTTGAAACTGAAAAGGGAAGATGCTGTGGGAAATTAAAACCAAACCGAAAGGCCTACAGCTAACAAAACAAAAGTAAAATCATTCACAGTTGCTGAAAAGGAATGGCCAGAAGGCACAGGTGGTGAACTACTCTATAGGTAACACCTACTCTGTTAGATATGCACATCCTGGGTGTACTCTGTTAATCAGTAACCAAGGGGTTAATTATCTCACAGTGGCACTGATTTCTCTCCTTCCAGTTCTTCCCCAATGGAAAAACATAGAGGACTGGCGTCAGGAGAGACCATATTCTACCCTTGTGAGACTGGGTTTGCCTCACCATGGAAGAAGTAGGAGTTTTAGCTTCCGGAACCCAGGGAGATCTGCATGGATCTTTGAGTGGGGGAAGATCCATGCAGAAATACGGGGACGCCACACCAACTCTAGAGCTCTCTTCACCCTTCTGGCTCTCTGGCCTATGAAACCCCGTTCCGGCCCAAAAGAAATGTAACAGAGCCTCAAACTATAATAGATTTTCTGCAGATTCTCTACGTATTGGTCGGGGAATGATATACACCTCTACCCCGATATAACGCGACCCGATATAACACGAATTCGGATATAACGCGGTAAAGCAGTGCTCCGGGGGGCGGGGCTGCGTGCTCCGGCTGATCAAAGCAAGTTCGATATAACGCAGTTTCACCTATAACGCGGTAAGATTTTTTGGCTCCCAAGGACAGCGTTATATCGGGGTAGAGGTGTACTTCTCCTTGGCCTTCCCCCTTCCTGCACAGAGCTGACCGCATGGTCCAGAACAGGGACCAACAGTCAGAGCCACAGAGGCTATTGAACCTTCTCTTCCGCAGGGGCAGGAGAGATATATGTACAGAGACTACCTCCACTCCCCAGATCAACATAGAATGAACTGGCCTAGTTTATGCACAGGGACTCAGTTAAACACAGTGCAGATTGCTGTGTTCGTAGTGGCTCGAGGTCTTTGGCCACAGTAAATGGTGCACTATTGCAAATGACAATCAAACCAGCTCTTGTAGGTCTCATTAGTTAGTCTGGAGACAACTATGCCAATGAGCAGCTTGACAGCACCTGCAGAGGAGGGCTGTGGCTTCAGAGCAGGTGAGGCTGATGGTTAGATCTCTTTTACCCTTTGTAATCCTTTTTTATGCTTAAGGAAAAGCGCAACATTTCATTAAGGGTGTCCAGTAACTAATGACTTTATTTACGTAGTAGTGGTACAGCATTGTGAGTCTTCAGTAGCCAACCTGCTTAAATCTCTAAAATGAATTCGAATGAGCTGGAGAGGCAGAATCTGCTATGGGACAAGAGCTGTCTGCCTACAGTGTATTATCTGGGCCTGTGATTGAGGCAGTCCACCCGTAACGGCAGGGCAGGATTTATTTTTTAGGGAAGATAATTAGCTTCCCCTGTGCCTGCTTCTTTCTTAATATTTGCACACACATCAGTTATAGCACAGAATTTCTGTAAAATGCATAGAAGGGTCCCCGAGAGACAAGGTGGGTGAGGGAATATCTTTTATTGGCCAACTTCTGTTGGTGAGTGATATATGTTTTTGAGCACACATGGAGCTCTTCTGCAGGTCCGGAATATCTTCAGTCTCTGGATCTTTGTTGACTGGACTAGGCTTTTGACAGGATTACAAATGTTTCTACTTCTACCCCCAGCCTCCATTTCCCCTCCCAGCTCCCACCTTCCTTTCTCATTACTATGACATCATGCCCAATGTGCTTTCACGTCTACTCTCCACTCAACTTGGCCGCTTCTGTCCTATCGTCCCATTGGAATGGTAAGTATTAGGTGACTGGGTGGCCCAGGAGATTGATAATGGCTTACAGAACATTTCCCTTTGAGGTCACCTGTTTAAATTCAGCATGGAGCCTCCTTCTCCTTGTGCCTCATCAACAGGCACCAGCCACGACTGCACTCCTGGTGCTTGTGAAGGCAAGGAGTCGAGAGAACATGGGTCCATGAGACTGCATCCCCTCTGCACAAGCCAAAGGCCATAGACAGGCGTGCCCGTTCCTTAAAGAGTGGCTGAGTGGCCATAGTGACTTTCATGCTTAGGAGCTCCTGGAGGTCCCCAGTAATGGCCTGTGGCTTTGTGCCCCCACTTTGGTGAGCTATCCTCACTGTCGTAGTAAAAGTCCAGTGGCTCTTCCCCATTGTGGGCCCAGTCCTGCTCACACCGAAGCCATTAGCAAAACTCCCATTGACTTAGGGTGACCATATTTCCCAAAAGGAAAACAGGACACTGCTCAGGGCTGGCCCGACCCCTTCCCACCCCCTGGCGCAGGGCTGGCCTGAGCTCCACTGCTCAGGGCTGGGGTTGACAGACTGAGCCCCACCACCCGGGGCTGGGGCTGAAGCCTGAGCCCCACTGCCCATAGCTGATAGCCCAAATCCCTCCTCCCCCCCCGCATGGGGCTTGCCTAAGCCGCTCCTGCCCCCGGTGCAAGGCTGGCCTGAGCTCTGCTGCCAGGGGCTGGGGCTGACAGCCCAAGGCCCGGCACCTGGCATTGCTGGTTGCCCCCTGAACATTCTTCCCCCCCTTTTTTGGCAAAACTGGGCATTTTGTCCCATTTATTCTTGCCAACAATGGTCAGTCGGCAAAAGCAAATGGGAACAAATGCCCAGTTTTGCCAAAAAAATTGGGACGTCTAGGACAGAGCTTAAAAAGGCTACTGTCCCGGCCAAAACGGGACATAGTCTCTCTCCCATTGACTTCAAAGGGTACAAGATCAAACCACGTGTCTGTCTCAGCTGTTTGAAAGGTTGCTGACCCCTGCCCTCAGCTATAGAACAGTGCAAGTTTTATTAGTGAGGGAGGCATGTGTGTAGCGCTGACTTCATGTACTGGGCTCCAGCCTCTGCTGCACCCTGTGTTTGCTGGGCACAGCAGAGGAGGGGAGCCACAAAAGAGCCTGCGGTGGTGCCCTGATCCTGACCACAACCTGGAACCAGTTCAGCCCCCAGCCTACTTTAGCCCAGCCCTGGGG